TCTTTTTCTTTCTGAGAGAGCATTTCCATGGCAATTACAAGAGCTGTAAATGGAGTAGAACTTGCAGAGATTGAGGACAGGACTACGGGTCTCTGTAGATGAGTGCTCCCTGATCCAGGCTCCTGTGCTCCAAGCCGAAAGCCAAAGATGTGAGCCAAAGTCAGCCCAGAAGCAGTGTATCCATGTTGGTGTGATGCTGTGCCTGAGCTGAACAGCTCCATCTCTCAGCTTTCCTTGGATTTCTGTACATCAGCAGGACTCTCTGTGGTACCTCTCCGTGTAGATGTCGATTTAAAAAAGGCTTCTCCACGGCAGTCTTATGTGGTTCACAGTATCCTCTACAGGACCATGGGATAAAGGTCTAGCACTCCATGAAGCCTTGATAATAAACAATATTTTGTACTGTATAGTAATTTACGGTGATAGTTTATGATACTAGAGACTAGCATGGAAACAAATTCCCTTTCCTTAGGAGTTTACAGTCTAAACAAACAAAATATGGTTCGCAGAGGAAATCAACACAGAAAAAGCAGAATCACTGTCTTTCAGTGCATGTCTTGCATGTAAGCCATTCTGAGCTGAGCAAGAAGAAAGTATTGTAAGTTGAAATGAAAGGTGAGAAGTAGAGCCATAGTTGGAAGAACCATTCAAAGAGTGGCTCAAAGCAGCTGAGGTTATAGGAGGGAGCTGAAGCAAGACAGAGGCACTCATGGAATCAGGAAACAGATGCAATGCAGAGGATTATTCATGATCGAAGGTTCAGATTGACAGGAAAGAAATATAACAACAGAAAATAGATTTCAATGTATTTAGTTATATCCATGTTATTGAAACTCTGGACCCTGACCAAGACCTGACCTGGTGTGCTAAGCTTCTTGTTTGGCACCTGGGTATGTGACAGAGCAGCCCAGTTTCTGCTGACCTCAGTGAGAGCTGCAGTAGCACAGTTTCTTTGAAAAACAGGCTGACAGCTTTTATTAGCTGGTGGCTAAGGTCAGAAACCATGCATAGATTTGCATGATTAAATGCAGAAACTGTATATCCAAGCATTGGTCCAAATCTTTTTCACACAGTCATTGACAATTTGCTTGCTGAAAACATATCCGTTTACATCAACAAAACGGTAATTTGTAAGAATTTGAGAAAAACATTACTGACTGATTTCCAAGAAAGGCTCTGAGCAGGGCAAGAAAGAAATCATTAATAATAGTGGAAAATGTAAATATAGGAATTGGAATAGTTCATCCTCCCACTAAAGAAAATTCTTAACAGTACTTATTGCTATGGTATATCTTACTGCATATGTTTAGTCTTTTAGGAGACAGGCCACAGGTACTTCTCAGGTTTATTGAATATGCTTTGCAGATTGACTTGGCAAGAGGTAACTGATGGATAAAAACCAGAGAAGCTGAATATGTAGCTGCTCTCTCTTTCATTCTTTTGCCTCTCCTTTAGAGGTCTTGATAATTGTTTCTGCGCCTGCAGCGCCCGTAATGGTAAAGGAGATAGAGCAACACAAGGTCAACAATGAACAACAAGCCAACAGCAACATCAAATCCTATAAACATATCTGCAAAGAAAACACAGTAACGGAGAAGTGTGTTAAGGAAAGGTGTAAATGTACGACATCTTAGACACAGAGATAACAATCTAATGACAAACATATACAATGGCAATACTTTTATGGTTAAAGTTTGCTTTGCATTTGCTGACCTATGAAACAAAAGTAAAAATACATATATTTTGGTCTTAGAAATATTTGCATAGCTTCCTGCCCTAGGTGTTCTCAGAGCAAGAATGACATCTCATGTGTAGTTAATGCAAAGCAGGAGTTTTATGAGGGATCAGCAGAACACTAAATATCCTTAAGAACAGGGAAAGACCAGGACTATCAGAAAAGAGCATGTATTCCCTTGCTTCTCACCTCCTTCCTGGAAATAATATTCAGGCAGGAGAAGGAGAATTTGGCCAAGCTTAGCATCTGTCTGCTCTTGGTAGTCCAAGGCAAATAACTTCTGTATCTGTGGATCAGCTGCACTGCTGATATATAGTGGAGGCTAAGGTATCCACAGTGTATCTAGCACATACGCCAGAAGTCCAGCTGCATCGAAGTTACCAAGCACGTGGAAGTCATTTATGCTTCCTATCTATAGCAGCTCTGATGCACCCAATGTGTACTGGGCTCCTTCCACTGAGCCCGCACCCTCATTTCTGTCTGACAGTTTCAGTTGCAGGAGATCTAGTTCTGGCCATGTCCTTACATGGTGCTCACTACATGGTGCTGCCAGTAAGAGCACTGCCTTCCCACTGGTTGGCAATACCCTTTGTATTCACAGAGAAATTTAATTTAAATCTGCCTTCCCTGCTAGGGGTAAACTTGGTCCAAACTCCTTAAAGGGGGATCAGTCCATTATATGAATGATAAAAAATTGGATCCATTAATACAACTTCTGTTTACATGCATTATATAGAAAATACATAGCTGTTACACTACCTTTCATTTTATCTTTCTTTCCACATTCTTTTGACCAGTTTTCTGCAATCATAGGAGAAACAAGTTCTGCGAACTTCTCAAGTGGACAAGAAGAGGTGCATCCTGGCAGAGTGAGGAGGTAAGGATCCTTTGAGGTATCATTCCGATAATACATTTCAATGCTATACCGTCTGATTAACAGATTAAAAAAAAAAGGAAGCTCTTAAACAGGAAATTTCCTACTCAGAGACACCAGAATGTTTCAAATAGCCCCTTTCACACTATACTAAAACCTGCTCTTCATGAATGGAGGCTTTTGTGAAAGGCATCTGCAAATCCCGGTTTGCCAAACCCAGTTGGGTGACTGTACAGGTCACTGGTCACAGGTCACTGTTGCCCTTGAATGGCAAAAGCATCGGGCTCTCGTAAGCTAATTGGTTTACCTTGGAATTTATGAGACATCTTGGAAATACTGTTGCTATTATGTGAAGAAGCAGGAAAGTTTGTCTTCCTACTTACTTCCAGCTGGTAAGGCCTGCTTTTTGTCTTCTTATTGTCTTTCAAAGTGCACAGATACATGCACCTACAGTAACCATGATTTTTACAGTTTATTATGTAATATTGTGCCTGGGAGCTGCTCAGTGAAGTATCAGTTTATAATACATTTCTATCTTACAGTATTTGGGGAAAAGCCAATTCCCTGGGAGGGAAGGGTAGAACAAAATATGAAATACTCCCTGCTTTTGCATAGGTGAGAAGATACTTGCCCACTGCTTTCTTGATAAAGCTCAAAAAACTGGCAAGCAGCATATGGTGGTAGCTTTCCATTGAAAATATTGAGAGCAATCTGGAGGGCCCCAACTGTGGTGTCGTGCTATTGGGGGAAAAAAGAAGCATCCTTTTAAATTCAGTAAACTGAACTCCTCATTTGTCCGACATAAAGAGAAGAGAGTAGAAAGCGAGTGGCAATCCAGATAAAACAAAAACCTGTGTAAATTTGACCATAAGAACATACTTGGTGTATTCACGATTGGAAAAAAATGTGTTAACAGACAGCAGAGATGCTTCCAAAGAATTGCTTCAGTCTGCATCTTTTACCTTGGGGCAATTATTTTGAATATAGAGATACTGCAGGAAGGCAAGCCAATCTGTACGCTGAGAAGTACATGTAGTTTTAAGTGCATTTTGCTGCTACTCCCTTCAGTTGTGCTGTTCATTCCAGGACTAACTTTGGTACTTTACTCAGAATAGGGCAGTATAAAGTCCCCATCCCATGGCATTTCAAGTGAATATAAAAGTACTCATTTTAGACTTAGCAGACAAATTTTTGGATATAATGACACTTCCCTCCTTCCACCAACTTCTAAAATTGTTGTTCTTTCTATGCAATAAAATCTTTGTTTGTGAATCTCATGATCAATTACCCACCCAACCATCTACAGCAGTGAAAATTCGGGGCACTTCCTGTTTTTCCTTCTCAAAAAGAATGTAGTAGAGCTATAGAAGGTAGCAAGAAAGTTTTAAGATATTGAACAGTTTTTATAGAAGTAATATTAAATAAGTTAGGACTCTTGGAAAAGACAAGACAGAAGAGGTATGGCTGGAAATAATAAATTCATGAGTGATCCAGGAAGAGTGAATAAAGAATGACTGTTCTCCTTTTCTCATAACACATTTGCTAGGAGGGAACTAAACCAGTATTAAGTTTCGCAAACAAAAAATAAAAGAAAAAAAAAAAAAGAAGGAAACGCTTCTTTCTTTTAACAAGTGAGCCTCAGAAGTCATTGTCACAAGATGTTGCAGAGGCCTAAGTACAAATACATTAAAAAAGTGATTAGAAAAATTGCTGGAAGAAAGGCTATTAAGGGCTATTAAACACATAGACACAGATTCTGTCCCAGGAAATCCCTAAGCCGCAGATTGCTGGAAGACTACATCAGGGGAAGCATCACTCTGCTGGCTTTTTTCTTACATTCTTCCCTGCTGATGGCTATTGTCAGAGACGGGATGATAAATGAGTTAAACGGATCTTGATTTGATACAAATGGCCCTGTTCATCCACTAAAATGAAGAAAAAAAAATCCTTAGTTGTACCATTCCTTCCTTCCTAAGAAGAAGATGGGTTTGGATGCACGGCTGAAGTTCTGCGACGTGTCAGCTCTAGGCATGGAACACTTAAAGGAAGTTGCAACATAAAGAAACCACATCCATATGCTGCAGTAAAAGAATGTATGCTAAAATACCTATATACCTCTACTAAGAACATTTTGGCCGAAATTGGCAACCTGTGGTCATGCTGTATTCTTATAGTGTCTTGTATTCAGCTTGTTTGTTGAATTGGACCAAATTAAATTATTCTTCTATTTAATTTACAAGATCAATCATATTACTTGCTTTTGGGGTCTTCTACAAGTAGCAGCATAACAACATTTGTGAAAGATGAAGATACTTACTGCAGAATAGACCTCCATTTTTCTTTCTCTTGAAGAATTAGCAGCTTGTTTAATGCTTTTTAAAATAGTATTCACAAGGACACCTTGAAAAGATGGTAGGAAAAAAGGAAGAAAGTAAAGAAAGAGCATGTACATAGAAGGTCAAAAATGCAAAAGATTTGGGGTGTCAAACAGGGAACATCTACTCAGGCCTCTTACTCATTTTTAGCTTAACACAAATTCATATCTATAGAGAAGATATTGTAGAAGTGAAATACATCATTCATGTCAGCTGAAGTTACAGGACTTACAGAAATCAGATAGAACTACCCCAAGAACAGCACTAACGGCACTTCCAGTTTTGTTATGCTAAGACCTCTTTTTGTGGTCTGTTTGGAGTTCTGTAATAGTGAGAGCTGTGCTGGCTTCTTCCTCTCTAGATTTGGAAGGAATGTTTTTAACAGTTTACTTCCAACAAGCCACTCAGTATGCAGTAGTTTTTTCAAAGCTCTTTCACACTCCTTCTCTGGTCCAGATATATCTTAAAGGCAAAGGGACAAGGGCAGCAGAGATTCATGTTATACTATTTGAGGGAAAGTGGGCATAACTGATATGTTCCTGTATACTAAAAAATAAGTCTCAACCACATGATATGGCCAGCTACCAGCTGGTGGGCGTTAGAGACTGTAATTACTGTGTTGCTTGATCCAGTGATGCATATGCCTAGGTGCTGAGATTGCTAATAGTTCTTTAGCTAGGTCATGACTGCGGGATAGGTGCGTTAAAGAGCTAGTCTCAAACAGTTCAGACTGTGGATATTCAAGCTCACTTGTCTGAGTTTCCTTCCTAGGGGTGCTTGGAGGTGGCATGATGAATGTCCTGGTCTTGTCCAGTGCCCTTAGAACAAAGAAATGATCCTAACTCTTGCAGTATAGATTGAATCTCTCATCTTGCATTCCAGTCAGACTGTTTTTGGAACAGCTTTACATCAGGTTCTCAGAGAGCTAATAATGTGTTGCCAAAGTTTTGGCGCAGTATATAACCAGTATATCAGAGGGAAAACAATGTGCAGGAAACAAGTGGAATGTTTGTTGAAAAAATGGATCTTAAGCTCAATCTATGCTGGCATCTGACAAATAAAGATCAAACCCGTGGGGGCTTATTTTTCCTTGGATTTCTTTAAGTCTTAATCTATTTGAGTGCCTATTTGAGTGTCTTTAGTTATCTTCAGGACAATTAAAAGTATTCATGTCTATACCTCATTTCGATATCTCACCCATCCAAATGCTAGTGTTCAACACATATTTGCATGCTTAGTATAATATCTAATGCTGTTAGTTACAAATTGGGGTTCTGTATCAATATTTTTACATGTGTGGGTGACAGAATGCTGTATATTATTGTAAGCTTTGCGTCCTCCTTTCTGGAAGCTGTGCGTTCTTGACTTACCTCCCTGGAGTCGTGACTTCTCTTCTGTTTTATAAACTCCAAATAATGACAGTAAGGACAATTCTGCCAGATTTTTCATCTTGTCCATTACATCTTTGGTGGCCCAGACAGGGAGACTGTAATTGTGAATACCCTGGTGATAAATGAAAGTGAAATTATATTATTTCTTTCACTGATTTCCATCTCGCTATCCCCCCTTGTCATTACTACTTTGAATTCTCTGAGGCAGTCTGTAATTCTTTGCCCAGTGAAATATCTTTTGTGGAAATGGGGATCAACCTGAAATGGATGATCTGGAAGAGGGGAAATACCCATGTGAAGTGGATCCCTTCCAAGTATAAAGTGTTCTTGCTGTAGTGGTACTCCTTTGTGGTTTTGCAAGCACGGAAGACTGCAGACATTCTCTTTCCTTCCTCTAACTCTGGATTGTCAGAGTATAACCTAGCTCCAGCTTGTCCTGCCTTTTCCATGCAGTGGACCAGGTACCAGGTCCATCACAGGCACTTCACAGAAAAGTGTCACTCTCCAGTCAATGACTAGATATAACAGTAGCCTCTTAAAGTGTCTAAGTGCATCAGTGAGTGGAGGGTGCATTCAACAGCTGCTCAGCTTTATATGCTGCCATTAATGACTAGTTGAGGGCAGGTGGAATCATCCCATACAGGGGAGCAGTCTGATTGCATTCACGAAAAGCAATCATTATCTCATAACTTTCTAACCAATAGATCATAATCTGTCTTCTCATTTTCAACACCTATCTGAAGATTCTTATGTTTACTCATTGCAAATTTAAAGCAAATAGTTTCATTTTCCTGTTAAAACCCATAAATACATCCTAGCCAACACACACAAATAACTCTACTTGGAAGGAAAATAAGGGAACAAAGGGAATGGATTTCTTCACTAGGGCTTTAGGGTTAAAACACCAAATGGAAACAGGTGGACAGCATTTTTCCAATATTTAGTCCATGCTTTTGGGGTATCTTTAACCAAAGCATTAAAGTAGAACTTGACTTCAAGGCAAGAAAGGCAGGAAAGCAAGCCAGTCATTCCTGTGAAACCAAGTTGCCAGGGTTTAGTTGAAGCACATCTTAGGAGTTATTTTCTCCCCCAGGCCCCATCGCTGTTCTTACCTCACAATATAGTGTGTCATATGTATTCCAGATTTCGAAATTGTCCAGTATTTTAAGATTGTTTAGTTCAAGTCCTGTGTTAACTGCCATCGTTTGTAAAAAATCCTAGGGGAAAAAAAAAAAAAAAAAAGAATACAGCACAAATACTCACTACCTGTGGAATGAATACAGATTCATTAAGCATCTGAACTGGCAACACTCCAGTGTTTTTATTTTACACAGGTGAGCCCACTGTAAGGGAGGATTTGGTTGCAGTTCTCATTCTATAGCCACTTAAAGATGATGATTTCTTTTTCAGCTACTGCTTTGTAGTCAGCCCTGCTATGGTTAAATTTGATGCTCTCTCTGTTCCATTCTTCTCTCCTCCTTCTGACTGCTTCTGACTGAGATTCCCTCAGTCACGCCAAGGCTTCAAAAGTGAGGAGGAAGAAAGGCACTAAGGGAAAGGGAAGGCAGGAGAAAGTGTGATGAGGAAACAGAAAATTAAAGTGGAGGTGAATAACTCAGGAAGAGAAAAAAAGAAGAAACTAAAGAGGAAACTAGTTTTTGCTTTTCCCTTTACAAATGGACTGAATAAGTTTCAAAACATTTCCCATAGAAATCTTTGATGACAGGGACAGAATTACTTTGAAGATGTAAGAACAGGTAGAACAGTGAGACTATCCAGAGTAGCAGAGCTGGTAGAAAGTTAGAAAGAAACTGAAAAAAAAGAGAAAATATTTGGCTTAGGCAGTCAGGTAGTGAGGTGGTGCCTTCCCCAAGTGGATCATGGGCTGACTCGAGAGCAGTAGTAACTGTTGTGCGAAACATTATTGTCTCCAAGAGCCCGGTGGCTTGGGACAGCCATGGCCACCATGTGCCACAGCCCAGTGCAGCACTGCAGGGAGGAATTCTGGATCACTAACTGCAAAAATGTGGGTCAGGGTCAAAGCAGAAACACTTCTTCTGATGGACCCAGAGTGAGTGAGAATGTGTAAATGCATGTTATTCACTGATACTGCGGTAATATGTTTGTTATTCAGAGTGTTTACCAGGTTGGGAATGCTTTAATTCTCTCTTGCAGCATTTCCTTTAGAAAGTCACATCAGGAAGACTGAGATTTTCCTGAGTTTCCGGATACTGATCAGATTTTTATAACTGGCTTTGTGCTCCCCTGTAAAACTTGAAATTGCTGCATGCACCTGAGCTTTTTTGTCTCCCCTTGGTTCATTGAAATTTAATTACATACAGCACTAAATACCATTGAGTTACATAACTTCTACCTGTTGGATCCTTTCATTTTTCTTAAATCTTGTTTCATTTTTATTTTGTCTTACCATGTATGGTTGTATTCTACTTTGAAATTCATTAGAGGTTTGCGTTTCATTCTGAAGTTCGTCAAATCGGGGACAGTCGTTCAGAGGAAAATGCAGCCTCTGAAATAGGAGAAGTGAAAATTAGAATAGTTCTGGGACTAATCAACACAACCCTACTTTTCAATTGTTGAGGTATTTTATATTTGTGGAATAAATTCATGGCTCTGCTACAGTTTGTTTAGACACTATGTTCATGAATTTGGTGAATGTAAGAAATGGTTCATGGTGGCCTGGTTTTGCATTGATAACTTGGGGCTGTGATAGCTTGATTTCCATCAGTTTAGCAAATCCTGCCTGGAAGCAGTTATTTAAGATTGCTTTGAGAAATGGTTCGATCTCCACGATCAAGATTTTGAAACAAGAATTTTAAAAAGGTGCCATTTCCCTAAGTTTCTGCACTGCAGTAGGTGCAGCTGGACTCCACATACATAGTTTGGAACCCAAATTGATGCTCCCTCCACATATTGTGCTTTCAGTGCTTTGGAGATAACTACTGTAATATGGTATGCATTATAAGTACAGTTTAATGGACAGAACTCTCAGGTAAAAAATGACAAATTGTTTCTGAAATATCAAAAATCTATGCCCTAATAACATTGGTCTTGCCTAAGTACACAGCTTCATGTTTAATAACTCCAAGTTTGTGCATTTTGAGTTCACCTAATCGTACATATTTGATCTGAATCATTCAGACTCACATCTCTGTCAAACTCTGTTCTGGCAAATATCCTTTATGCCAGTTGGCAGAAGGACAGATGACATCTGAGCTAGCCTACAGTCTGCCAATATAAAACTTATGGCTTCAGAATTCTTTGTGTGAGCAAAATAAACTTGCATTCGTTCAGCATTTTGTCACATCTCCAGAACTTTTTTGACCCAGTACTACTTATTCTATAGCAAAAATCATGTAATGGAGGAGTGTTAATATAGAATGGAGAAATTCACTTTGTACAGAGGTTTCTAAAAAGACCCACGTGTCATTTAACTTTTACATCTATGGCTTAAATAGGACTGAAATGGCAAGAATGCCTGCTCTGCACTGAGTGAACATAGCAAAATGCACTTCCAGGGCCTCTTTTTGCTATCTGATATATCAAAATGCGTCATGTGTGAGGCTGACAGCAGACACCAATAGACAATAATACACATGTTGTTTAATTACACAATAACAAATATTCCTCTTGTTGTGTTGCATAATTATTCCCCTCTCTGGGTTATTAATAAAGCCCCTCCCTTTTTGTCTGTTGGGTCTTGATAGATCCCAGTGGCTGAAATATAGACAGAGTATTTATTTATTTATTTATTTCCACAGGATCGGATTTGGTCTTAACTTCCTATTTTGTGTTATTCGTGGCTCAAAACCCTCAAGTATCTGGTTGGTTTAACAAAGGAATGATAGTTTTTTTTGTGTATGTTTTTTATTTCATTTTTCTCCCCCAGGTGGTTTGCATAATTAACAGGCATTTTGAGTTGTTTCAGTGACACTTCAACATCCACTCCTAGGGAGTGCAGAAGTGATGGATACTAGAGATTCTACAGATGAGCTTGCCTTCTCCAAATGGGTCATATCACTGTACTGTGGTGTCCTTGGGGACTTTGTGGTTTCTTCTGGCTGAAGAACTGACCATTTTCATGCTTTTTCATGTCTGCTGGTGTAAGAACTTCCTCTCCCCTAGTATTCCAGTATTCCACATTTAAATAACAGTGACAATGCTCCTTTTTGTTTAAGAAGAGAAGGAAGTTTCAAGCTGAATCATGTTGTTTCTAACGCAGTTTGCTGAAACCTCCTCTCCCTGCACCTGCTTGCATGGAGTAATGCCATGGCTTTTGAATGGAGTAATGCCAGTGGGCAGGCAGGTGCAGCCACCTCTAATGACAGAGTCCTTCCTCTGGTGTTGGTGACTGGGCAGGCAGTTATTTAATAGCTTTTGTATGCATGCATTTCCTCAAAGTGACTCTGCCCTCAAAAGCAGAACAAAATTAGTCTTTCTGCCACAACACCCAACAGCTTTTGTCCTTGTTCAACCTTTTACTTAGTTCCCTATAACAGGAGCCAAAGAAATGAAAATCTAAACCTGTTGGTCAGGGAGAGCTGTATACAGCAAAACTTCTGTCAGACCTATCATTTAGGTAGGTCTACTCTTATTATGAACCTTGAGGCAAGCACTACAGCTTTTTTTTATTTGTTTGCATAGCATGGAGCATAATAGGATCCTTGTCTTTAATTGAGTTGCCTAAGTGCTACCAGAATAGGAAAGCAGTAACTGAGAGGCATTACAGTGGCTGATGCAAATTCCATTCCTTGAATAAACTAAGAAATGAAGCTGCCAAGGTGGGCAGAAGAGACAAATTTAAGCTCTTTAAGTAGCCTCTCAAGCTAATTGGTGCTCAGGAAAGTATACGCTGTCTATAAAGGTTTCAGGCAACTTGCTTAGAATACTGTCCAAAAGTGCCCTTGCCAGGAGAAATGTTAGAGCTGGGCCTCGAAGAAAGTGGTATCGCAAGTCAGGTGTTCAGCAGTATAGAGAAAGGATTTACAGTCAGCTATGACAATTAAACTGTGACAGTCTTGCTTGCCAGTAGCAACAACTGATGTTTTCTATTAGAATGAACTCAAAGAAAATAGCAAATACTCTTTAGACCTTTGCTCTCTCTCTCCTTTTTTTTTTTTTTTTTTTTTTTCCCCTCCCTCCTCCTTTCCCCTTTTGGAAGAGCCTGAGGCATGATAGAAAGTATCCAGCCGCTACTCACCCGGTCTGATGATTTTGACACAATATGAACAGGAATGGGTTGCCAGGGAAGCTCAGGGTTCCAGATTTGGCTGCTGGTTGGTGGGAAGAGGCCAGAAAGGCATGACTGGGCACTCATAATGGTGCGATCATAGTCTGTACTTTGGATATAAAACTAAAGATAAAATGGCAGTATTAAAAATAAGAGGGAAACTGTCCAGCTCATCAATCTTGCCTTCTCCTTTTCAGTCCTTGAGACTGATCTGAGAAGAATAAAAAACTTGATTTGAAAAAAGGAATATCTGTGTCCTCTGAAATTCAGAGGTATGTTGATGTGATCCACCTCCTATATCCCAGGGATGAAGGCCGTTGTAACCCTGGTGGGTAGCAAAACCTCTCATGGAGCTTTGCAAAACTATTTTCTAATTTGTTCTTACATCAGTGCCTATGTTGACAAAAATTTTCCTCATGATGCATCCATATCATGTGACATACACACACACCTCCAAACATATCTGAGACCTCTTTCTCACAGCATGAGATATGTGAGTGTGGCCCTTCACATGGCTGTGAATATCTTCATGTGTAAACTGGGCAAAATAGTTTTGGGTCACTATGGCAAATTGTCAAATCATTTGATGGGATGGAGCTGTTCAGTCCTTGGAAAAAAGGTTGTAGAAGACTTGAGCTTTTACATTTATGGAGCATAATATGAGCATGATGTTAACCAGTTTGTTTTTACCATGACATACTTCCCCCTCCCCCTGATTTTCAGAAAATTTGTTGCCTTATATTTTGTTTTAGTGAAAGGAATATGATGTGTTTTTATTTAGCACAAGTCCATAGTGCTGCTGTGCTGTAGAAATGTCCTCCAGACAGGTCTGATACATACCTCTTGCCGGTTGTATGTGCTGTTCAGAAAGTTGGAATATCTTTTCCTCATGTACTGCCCCAGTTCATACAGCTGCTGCATTCCAGTCTGTGAAGTGAGCATACAGATGAATCTTAGATTAAGGAGATTGGAGAATCTTAATACACTTTTCTTCTTTCTTTTTTTTTTGTATTTACCAATCTATCTTTGTGAGCATTAACCATGTGTCTAACATATTACCTAGGTGAGCTAGAATTTTTAACAGAAATACTCATTTTTATCTTTGAGAAAATATTTTCTGAAATTCTAAGACTCCGACATGTGCAGCAGGAAGGAAAATGTGCCTCATTCTATACAAACACTGTTTCCAGAGAGCTGCAGCTCTGTAGTTGCTTCTGGAGTTACCTAGGATCGATCTTGTAAGCGTATGTCAGTCTGTGAAAGTTGAGAAAGGGTGATCAATACCCCAATATTGGGATGAATTTGTGGTTTACATTACTATGCCTTCAGAAGCATTCTTCCAACTTTGTCTTGGTAGCCCTGCAGTTGTCTTAGACTGCACAGTCTTTTCTATTATTCACTTCTAAGGCTATGAGTTGAACTCTTTACTTTTAGCTGCCAGAGAAGTACATCCTTACTACTGCTGCCAAAAAGATAGAAAAAAAAAGCACTCAAAAAGCTGTCCTGAAGCAGAAAATCTTTTTCTTTGTATATAATAAGATACTTACAGGCTATAGTAACATGTGTTGTCTGAGCCTCTGAATTTTACGGTTTGCCAAGTCTCACTTTAAACACTAAATGCTTGGTTGTCTCTGATTAATACTTCTCCATTGTAATGACATATACTTAGTGAATGGCCTCTCTCTGCTCCAGAACTTCACGTGCGAAGTATAGCGAAAGAGCTAAAGCCTGGTGTTGAGATGCCAGAGTGAGAGTAAGTGTATGTGGGTAAAGCTCCAGGCTGAAAGCAGCCTTATTAGAAGACTGTCCCCAGAAGTAGCCTTTTTCTGCAAATCTCCTCTTGTCTCGGGAGTTGATGTTTGCAGTTGAATGATGAGATGTCAACTCATCATTTGACCTGGTGAGCAGGTGTCATTCCTCTACCCTTGGTCACTTGGTGCTGTGCGTAAGGGTCTTGGCCATCAGGACTTCAGGAGTTTTATGAGTACTGATAATGTTTAAATTTGCCATCTATTTGAATGCACACACAGTCCAGGAAGTTGTTGCTTGCAGGAAGACCATCATATAGCTTTGATGAACAAGGTCACAGTGTAGAAGCAGCGGATGAATATTGTTATAAAAAAGGTTTGAATTATGGAGTAGTACTAATACCATGTATCACTAGCTGGGATTTACTCATGTTTTGCAAGACACACATCAAAAATCTGCACATTTCTTATGGTAGTAGCATTATTAAATCTTATTAAGGAAATCAGCATACCTTGGTAAGTTGTCCAAATCCCTGGGGCCATTCACTTTCTTTGTGTAGATCGGTTGGAAAGTTTATAATTGGTGTTCGGTCACCATGTCGGAAAACCTGATAAAATTAATGTTAAAAAAATGAGGTAATTACCATTAGCTTTCCCTTCTCACCTGGCAAGACAAAGATAAAACTTTAATTCCAGTGCCATTTTTCAAATAAATATATTGAATAGTCTGCAGAAGGTTAGCCAATGTGTCAATGAAGTACATTCTTTACAAGCAAGAGTAGATATAATTTCATAGGAATTTAGTGATGCCTCTTCTGCCTAGAACTTAAAGTGAAACAGCCAATATATTAATGGTCAGATTAGATCCAGAACTAGGCATCTAGACAAGAGATCTGACTGAATTTTGGACACTCAGCATCTCTGACTATTAAACCAGTTGCTGATGTGCTATATGAGGATTTAATTACTTTGGCACAAACATCTTAAATGTTTTGCAACTGTGGGTTTTTTCATAGCAGCGTCTTGTAAATGTGTACATATGGATTTATATTGTTAGCTTATTTAATGTTTCCTAATATTTTTTGCATACGCTTATGAAAATATTCATGAAAGTAGGATTTTTTCTACTAACTTGAGTGAGAGCAGAAAATTTGCTCACTTTCTTATGCTGGACACTCTAGCATGGTGGATGTTAGTGTGGTATGAATAGAAATGTGATTTGCACATCAGAAACCTTTAATAAGCATTTTTTTATTTTTATGGCAGCATACAAAACAGTTCCAGCCCTAAATTAAAGAGTCCTGAAAAAAGTCTGATTTCCCCTTTCTGTCATGTGTAGATTTATTAAAAATGGAAGTTTTAGCTGAAGGGAAATGCTGGAATACGAATTGACAGGGCTCCAGGCAGTCTTCAAAGATGCTGATCCAAGTGTTCCAGAAATTGCCTCTGCTCATATGCCTTTTCAAATAACTAACCTCATGGCCTGACTTTGCAGAAGAAAATGCCAATGTGGAAGCATGGTATACTTGTTCATAAAGTGACATCTATTCCATAATACCTCACTGCTACAGAACATAATGATAATTAATACTCTCCATTGCCTCATTAGGCCACATCATTCTTCCCCGAACATCAGAGAGGTTTGTACATGCTAGTTAGTTTGCCACTCCTGCTGGTGGGTGTTTCACATTTGTGTTTTCCCTAAGTAAACAAAACTGCTCTGGCTTAGTGTTTTAATTAGGATACACACCCTTTTCCAGCCTCTCTGTGTGCCAGTGTGCACAAAGTGCTGCTAGAGCAGGTATTTCAGAGGTGGGAGTTACTAGCCTTGAAAGGCAAATCCAGTTGGATTTCTCCTTGTGTTCAAGGCTTCTGAAGTAGACAGCAAGGTTTGCTAGAGTTCAAACCATGTAGAACAATATAGAAAAGTTTTTTTTTTTTTTTTTTCGTGGCTAGTAATTAAACTCCACTGAAAATGTGGTTGACCTCTTGTGAATGTTTTTCAACAAATCAAGGAAATTAGTCAAAAAGCTTTAACTTTCAAGTTTTCCATCACAGTAAAAATATTATCAAAAAATGAAATGAACTTTGAAAAAAGGAAGCATTAGTTCAGTTTTTGAAGTTTTATTTCTGATGTACAAAAGGAATATTTTCTTAGCTAAAACAGCTTATCAGAATTAATAAGATATTTGATCAATCTTAAAATGCATAAAGTCTGTGTTAAAAAGATTAGTTTTTACTTCTCTATACAACTTTTTCCTGTGCCTTTTTTTTTTTAACCAATTTGGAATCTTAGACAATTTTTTTGATAATTCCTCAGTTTACCTCTGAAGAACATGGGAATGGCCAAGAGCTGCAATATCTGATGACTGATCCAGTTGGATACAAGGAAGATGACTGAGGGGAACTCTTGTGTTATTGGTTATTTCTTCGGTATATTTTGCCATGCTGACATGGTAAAGCTCTCACGTGCAATTGATTAGCTCTTCTGAACAAGCTGATGCTTCACTAAGGAATGAAGGTTAGATTCCCAATTAAAATGTAGCTGGGTGCTTTCTTGCTAAATGTATCCAACTGCACAGAAAAGTGTTTTTACGGGTACTTGACAATTGCTCAAACCAACTGACATGATGAAATGCCTATTTTTACATGATATGGAGTAATAGATTTAAGCTCAATAAAGAAAGTATGCTTTTTTATTTCTGTAAAATAAGTGAAAACACATTAAATTTGAAATGCTAGTTTATAACACTTAATATGGAATATAACTGTCAATGTATATTTCACTGTCATAATAGTTAACCTCTAAAAACATTTGCTTAGCCACAACAGAGCAGCAATTTAGCTCAACAGGAATGGGAGGGCAAAAAAAATATAGATTCAAAGATATTTGCATCTGTATGGGCACTGGAGAGGTATAAGAATAAGATTATTTTTCCTCTTTGTATCCTTAAGAAACAGAAGCAGTGGTGTTTGTTCTCTTCAAAAAAGCACTGGACTTTTTAAAGATCCATATGGAACAGATAAAAGTTCCATTCCTTGATTGTATTTTTACATCTACATTGCACAGTGTTAACTTAATAAAATTGCATAAAATATTATGTTATGTTAAACTGGAAGAAAAGAGAGAAACAAATGCTGCTGAGAGCAGAGTCCTGCTTATAGGAAATGAAGCACCAAGTTTCTTAGCTAGCTAATTTTTCCTCATGCTCAAACCTCCTAGTTGCCTAATATTTTTGAAAATGACTTTGCTTGCTTTGAATGTAGCTTTGCTTAAGCTACAACTGGTAATGGAATAATGACCCAATGAACTGCCATTTACCTAAAAGGATAACTCATCCAGTTGGTCAGAAATATTTCAAAAGAGTTTGTTCTTTTTAATTTCATTCCAAACTTTAAGAAAGGCTGTGTGTGAAAGTTCCTCTTTTTATCCTACTCTTAGGAGAAAAAAGTATATCCCTACAAAGCTTACCTTGTTCATCAAGTATGTATTTCTCAACACTCAGAGGATTTAAATTTTGTTAAAACAGAGCTGATTCTTCAAATTCATTTTAAGGTATTTTGAAATACATTTAAGGTATTTTCTGTGCTTCAGCATTTGCAGCTCCTGGCATACAGATTGCCTTCCTGACCTCTCAGGAGATACTGAAACTGGCAGGATGAGAGAGCAGGAAGAACTGGAGAGGGAATGTAGGAGGAGAGAAGACACTAGAAAGCAAGAAGAAAGAGAGGGCAGGGAGGGGATATAGAGGGAAGAAAAAAGCCATGAAACACACCTGCTCAGTGTGTTCCCTCCAGAATCTTTTGTTTGGAATATTTTACCTCCATCAGTTCTTGAAAGCAATGGATGGATAGCTGTCAAACAGCCACTCCCTCAACTTTGGTAGCCGTGGAGCCTGATTTGGGGCTCTCCTCTCTCTTCCTAATGCTGTGAGTGTGAGCACTATAGATCACAAAGGCCATGTGACTCAAACTCTGGCCACAAATTGCTTCCTTTCCTGGCAGGTGAAAAATCACATTGGAATAAAACTGGGGCAGGATAGAGGGTGAACTGAGAATATGGCATGTATAGTGTATATATATATGTACATAACATCCTCATTCAGAAGTGCCATGACTTATAGTGAATTATGTGACGTGGAGGAATAGTGAGCCTCTGACAGGTACTTATACTGACATACCCAACTTCAGACAAAAGTATTTCTTCTTCTGGAACCAGCCATAGAAATGAAAACAACAGGTCAGGGGAAAAAGCCATGCAACTAGCTCAGGGAAACTATTGATGCAGGAGAAACAGGGACATGTCTAGTCAAGGTTTCAAATGACTTGGGTTTATTAGACAGATAGATATCATACCCTATCAAAGATCCTATCCTGAGCTGCAGGAAGAAAGACCTGATGAAACCACCCTCCCTCAGAAACCCCACCCCTGTGTGTACAGGACAGATGACAAGAGTGCCTATGTGGGAGTAGAAGTTACAGGTCAGTGCTTCTCTCTACTGACTCAATAAATCAGGATACCCAATGGTCCTAAATATTGCCTATTTTCTTCTGTTGCAGGCAGTTTACATTCAATACAGAAGAATCCCACTGAAGGTTAATGTTTACGCTAAGAAGGAAAACTAGAAAAGGATATTGAGAAAATGGTTTGAATTACAGCTTTTCAGCCAAAAGGACTTGTGGCCAATTATCAAAGCACACAGAATAATTGTGAAGTTGGAAATCATGAAGAAAGAGCAAGGCACAGCACAAGAGCATAGCACTGTCCTGGAAGTGAGCATACGGGAACCCTTGTCTCTTTCCTCCCATACAGATGTATTTTTATCCTATGCAGTTCTACTAAGAAAGTTTTAAAAAGTCATTATGACTCATTTTCACAGTGCAATAGTGTTCTCAGGTGAAAACAGCAATTTAGAGAGTAAAGCTGGAGAATAGCCGTTGAATTATCTCAGAAATAAGTCTTCTAGACTTACCTTGGCTGCAGTCTGACTCTTGTTATATCCTATTATATCAGTGAAATGTTCTGGTGCCAACTCCTACTAAAATATGCTATCAATACTTTTCCTATAAAAATTCAATCAGTGAGTAGTTCAGGAAATAAAATTAACATACAGAAACCATGTTTTGAGAAAAGATTTATATACTGATAATAACACTCTATTGTAACCTTTTTGGCAGATTGCTCAGTCTGAGGAAAGGTATCAGTGATAATAGTAAAACTGTTTAAAGAAGAATTTCATAATTCATAATTATATAGTGAATTACTCTATAAGTCCTATCTTCCTTTTTTTTTAATAGGTGATGAGAAAGCTGGTTTTGTCAAGGAAGACTCTTATTTCTGTAATGTCATTTCCTGCCACTTGTTCTGCAGGGCCAGCATTTGACAGAGCAGTGTAACAACTGCAGTTCAATAGCAGCCTCACTCCCATCAGAGAAATTCATCCTCCAAGGCACCTGACTGCCCAGGCCTCCTACCTGTATGCCCAGGCCTCTCTCTTACCATTGACATAACATTTAAGGGTACTGACATAGACTGTTAGGACTAGAATGACTGGAGCTAAATTCCTGTATCATGTAGTGTCTAGTCCAAGAGTGAGGCTAAGCAGGAGTAGGAACTGGTTTTTCCTGAGCCTCTTTCCAAGTGGCACATCTACCTAACACAGCCAACAGATAATTAAATGTGAAATAGCTTCTCTGGGGCTAGATCATAGAATCATTATGGTTGGAAAAGACCCTCAAGATCGAGTCCAACCGTAAATGCATCCGCTCCATGCCTGCTAAACCATGTCCCTAAGTGCCTCAGCTGCACAGTTCTTGAATACTGCTAGGGACGGGGACTCCACTGCTATATTTGGACACAGGCCTTCTTTCTGTTATCTGCATGTGCACCTGATATCTCCAATAGAGGAACACAGAGGGAGAATATCTTAAAATTCTTTCTTTTATGAATGTTAATTCCAAGCTCCCCAGCTTTGTATTCTAAGTATCACAACCTTCACCATCTAAATTACTTCACTGAATTAATATCTTTTTGGGTTTTTTTTTATCTGACATATTGGAGAAACTGATGTCGAAGTGATATCTAGTTGTGTTAAAACCAGTAATAGTCCAAAAACTATTACGGTCCAAAACCAAAAAAACTATTACAGTCGGTTCTCAAATTAATTGTAGTAAATGCAACATGTATCTCAAATCTCTCAATAAAATGCCATTTTCTGCTTTCCAGTACACTGCTGTGCCAATTCAGCTGTTATGAAATGGAAACTATTGTTTTTATAGCGACTTCTATTTTGAAATCACAGAACACCCTATACCATGCATAAATTCATCTTCCAAGCACAAAGAAGGTAGGCCAGAATCACCAGTTCTGAAGCTGCACAACTGTGTATCTGCTAACCTGAGCAGGAAGAGGTTAGCCAGACCTCAGATCTCAGGACTCCACCACAAAGCTAAGAGGTTGAGTTATCTTGAAGTAATAACCGGAGGTTAGTAGATGAAAAATTCTGTAACTCCGGGCATTTTATGTTCTTTAAGAAGGCCTTAAATTCAGTAAGCAAAAGGCAGAAGTTTTTGTTTTCCAAGTGCACAAAGAGACAAAGCAATTGCCCACCTTTTCAACACGAGAGCACCACCACATTGGAGCATTCCCCACAGTGAAACAGAAACCCCATCTACTTACTACGACCACAAACTTCAGTTCCCTTTCCGCAGCAGTCTGCTGAAACAGAACGGGGATGATCAGAAAAGCAAAACACAGGAGCCCGGGTCGGCAGGGAGGCCATATCGCTCCCATGTTGGCAGCGGATGAAAAAGGCTCTGTAGCTCCAGCAGCTGCTCTGGCTGAGCAGCCCAGGTGCCAAGCTCTACTTTCAAAAGGGGTGGAACTGCCGCTGGTGAATTTTAAATCCAGGAGGAATGTGGTGCGGTTACGCAAGGCGGCTCATCATCCTTTGTTTGCAAATTACTGTTTACATTCTGCTTAATGAAATCATAACAATTCCTCTTTTTCGGTGATATTTTTCGCATTTGCAGTATCAGGATAAGGGTTAAAATACGAAGGAGCTGCAAGTTGTTCAACCTACCTGCTCAGTTTCTGCTCTTAGTGCTTGAACTCTTTCCAGGTTGCACTACAGCCAAGGGAACCTCCTGCGTGCCCAGGAGTCCCGGCACGGTGCTGGGCAGCGAGGCAGCGACGCTGGCTCAGGCCCTGCGCCCCAGGGCGCTGGGGGCACAGGCGGTGGCAGGGAGGG